CGTGTGCTTTTGCAGATGTGTCTATCCCTTTATGGAGAAACGGAAAAGTCTTGTCCTTCGGATATTGTCAGAAAAACATTCTGCCAGTGCCCTCCTGAAAGCCATTCATCGTTTCAGGAAAATTTTGCTGCTTAATATTTTGTGAACGTGGGATAGGGTGGTGTCCGGGGACTGCTAGTTTCATTGAAGCGATTGAAATGAGGAAGAATGATGGATTTCTTTTGTGATGTTTATGTATCATGAGCGTAAAGAAGTATTGCCTGTCTTACAAAGCACTGATTGATGTTAGGTGTTTATTTATTTATGCACTTCTTCACACGTCTGTTTGTACTAAGAGAAACAAATTTTCAGCGAAGTAAGGCTTCACTCGGTAGTGACACTTTGATTTTCACTGCAGAATGTAAGTGTACAGTGGCAATGTGGTGTTACTTTATTATGCATTTTGCCTTCTAAAGCTTTTGTGCATGTGCGTGCGTTGTGTTTTCTAGTCAACAAAATCTTCTAATTATATGGGCTAATAAAGTAATTTTTTGCAGTGCCACTTTACTGAGCGACAAACATTTAAATTTACTTAAATATTTCTCTATTATATCACCAAACATAGTCATTGGTCATGGTCAGTGATCATTCGAATGATCAGTGGCAAGCATGATCACTGGTATTTTTTTCCTTGGCCTTTTCTCTCAAGTGATGCGTAAAATGCGATGAGTGCATTGTGTTGAGTGCACTGTTTCGCAATATATCCATAATGTTTTGACCTTTCTGGTATATTAGGACAGTCTTGAATTGATTTATAACGATTGTCTTCATTCAGTACACAGTAAATGCGTGTCAATTTGATGCTTGGTAGGAAAATATGATTACTGGACATGTTTGTTAGTCAAGGCCTAAATTTGCATATCTTAATGGCACGAAGTTCTTCGTAGTTTGGTCGTATATGGCCTCAACCCGGTTAACTCACACGGTCATTGGAGCACGGTGGGCATAACGCGCCAACAGTTTTACGTGAAAAAAAAAAAAAAAAAAACACCTGCATGCCGCTATAGGTAAGGGTGTAGTGCAGAACACCTTTCAGGCTTATCGAAAACGGGCGTCTTGTAGCTTCGCCACATTGTGAACAATGTTGTGGGATGACAAAAGTTGCAACTTTTCGCTTCTTTTATGCAAAATAAGTACAGCATTTACAGGTTTACGAAGAAATTGAAAATATTTTATGGTAGAAATATTTGATTTTTTAAATATTTCTGGTAGTTTGGCATTTGGTCGATACATATGTTTTGTCCAGTCCCCTAAAATCGGAGCTAATTATATTTTAACACAGTTACGAGATAAAGTAGACTTTGTGCTGATATGTATCGTCAAGTTAGTGTCTGAAACATTGCATAGCTTACTTGTGTTCCATTCTGTCATTATGCTGTCACTGAAGTAGTTTAGAGAAAACGGAAATGTGTAAACTGAGCAAGTACACTAAAGAACTTATATTTTATACAGTCCACATAAATGTGCCAGCATTTCTGACCACTAAATTTGTAATATCATTTCTATCCCTTCTGAATGACTAGCTTTTCTTTTTCATATTTTTTGCAGTTTGTTTCATATTAATCTTGTTCACTCGTATCTCATTTTTTATACTTTTTGCACTTAATTATGAAGTTGTTTGTTCACTGCAGAGCATTTTATGGATATTTCTATGGGGAAAAAAAAGTGCCATAAATGTTTCACTGGGCTGGTGCATAATCTATTGGCGTATTATGAAGAAACTTTTGTCATTTAGGTGTAGTATAGATTAACATCGAAATTGCATTTCTGTGCATTTACTGGAGGTTTTTGCATGTATTAGATATGGAGAGGTAGAAACTGTTTGTAACTGTGTCGTCGTAGCACAGTTACTGGTGCATAACTTGTAGCTTGCTTAGGCACTTAGGCAAATTGACATGGCCTTCTTGGCTTTATTATATGTTGATATACGAATCCTGCTCAGTTTAGAACAGCCACTGTGTAACAACGTCTAATTTGCTAACCAAGAACTGCAGTTTTTATTTTTTCGTAATCTCACAAAAAAAAACCTTGAGCTGCCACAGTATGAGAAAATGGGCTCCATTATAAGATATCCTATATCATATTTGCCAATTCCAACATTTATCATACACTTATCATCAAATATTTAACCTATTCGTGTATTACTTGACCCAGCAGCACATTTTATTGATTAGCGCAGTGTATGCAATTTCTTCCTGCCGTTTTGTGTAGTTGTACACTGTTATTTATGGATGGTGTTCTTTTTCATGAGCAAGTATTATAGCAATGACTGTTTCGACACAGCAGATATGAAATGACGAGCAGCTGTTTGAATAGGTTACATGGGTCTTTTCTGCCACTTTATTTCGGTACTAGTTGTGCAATTGATTTCTGGCATTTATAGAACATACTTAGTTGATCTTCTCATGCAGGTTCAGCCGGAGCCTTTACAAGTTCTCAAACCTCATTCAGATAGTTTCAGCAGCTTCAAACATTGCAAGTTATTTCCCACAAACCCTTCACACTTTGCCAACTCAGTTTCAGTGAAAGTTTCAGTCAAAACCGGAACCATAACCGTGTCTACAGTCTCTACATCTTGCATGCTACATCCGTCCTTTAAAGCACCTTGTAATGGACATTCCTGCCAAAGCATACCAATCAGCAGTAGCTGCAGAGGATTCTATGTTCGTCATAATGGTCCCCCCTCTTATAACATGCATAGCATATCGACGGGGAGTTGAAGGAGTTTGCAGTAATCATTTTTTTAATGCATTAATATTAAATTTTTTTGTGTAAGTGCTGCATAAGCACATTCTTAAATCAATGTATCTCTGCCTAGGTTCAAGTAAGTTTAGCCAGCTTGGGAACTTGAGAAAGTTTGTTGCTGGTTGTTTATAAAGCTATACAGAACGTAGGTAAGATATTAGAAACTTTTTTTATATTCCATGAGCCATTGACTTCATGTTGTGTTCGTTTATTTTGCTATTTGTTGAATTGTTTATTTCCATGCATATACTCTACATTTTCTTCATGACTCATCTGTTTTATCTGTGCTGTGCTATATTTGTTTGTGATGCTTGTCAGTTGTTTCCTGTTGTAGAGAGTTAACGAGAACTCTTAGTTATTCCTTCACACTTAATGCAACTGTATGTGATACGCACAGTGCTCTGCATATTATTTGTGTTCTATGAGCTTGTCATCAAAATGTGGTTTTGAAGCTTTATTTCAAGCACCACTATTTAGTTAATTGCTATGGCTATTTAAGCTAAGTGTGCTATATAATTTTTTTTTTTTTTCATATCTGTTTCATGCCATTGTTGATGTCATTTTTTCATCCATGTTATTGTGGCTCTAGCATTGGTTGTCTAGTTGGTAAGCTGCCATATCAGAATGGCCTTAAACCCAAGGCTTTGTTTGCCATTGTGTGAAATGCTATCTAGTAATATTTAGCAAACCTTTACATACGAAATATTCATGAAAAGATCATGCACTTAGTCTGTTGATACATCTGCTTTAGACACAAGTTCAATGTTTGTGCACGGCTCAATCGACTTAGAAAAAAAAATCTGTATGGTTTTTGCTTTTGAATCGCTTTAGGCATACCCATAATAGACTGCGCGACTTCTTATTTGTATTCAAGTCAAGCTTGTGCTCAAGAAGAATGCTGATCTTTTGTTCAGAGCCAACAGCGGCAATGCAAACATCCGAATCTCTGTGGCAGGGCCTCTAAAGTGTTGTCAGTTTCTGTTCGTAGAAATAGACTACGAATCTGAAAAAGCAACATCATTGAACAAAATATGCAACGCACCTTTGTTCAGATAGTGCTAAAGGATGACTTTTAGCTGTGGAACTCGGCCAGTACATCTCAAGGGAGCACAAGCACATGCACGCTTGCATAGGCTGCTCACTAGAGAACTGCTGGCGCTCGACGACGTAACTGGCAGGACAAAAAGCTGATGCAGTGGTTGAAACTTAAAATTCGCTGAATCATAATGAGCTTTTCTCTTTTTGTTTATTAATTTTGTTCTCCTTTTCTGAATTTTTAAGCACAGGGAGGCTGCATAGCACCACCTGTACCACCAAGTTTTTCGAATTTGTATAATATTTTCTAATTTCTTCAAAATTAAAAATTAAAACAAAAAGACATTTAATAATAAACAGCACAATGCATTTCAAGGTGGGTTGATGTTGCAATGACACATCCGTTTTTATGCTTCAGTCCTTTGGTGAACTGTTTGTGTGAGTGTGCATGCCCCTTCTTGCACTCCTCAGAGATTTGTGGCTGAGTTAAAGAGCACAAAGCAAGCGTTTAGCACCGTCTGAGCAAGTGCGAGAAGTAAAATAGCCATCATTGAAACTGTCGAAAATTTAATTACTTGGATAGCACCTTGTTCACAAGTCTTGTGTCAAAAAAAGCCCTCCCCACCTTGCAAACTGGGGCAGCCTCTTCAGGGATTACCGTAAAATGTACAGATGCATATTTGTTTCAGGGGTGAAGCTCCTAAAGTTGTGGGTCTGTCTTTTCTCTGTGACTGGTTTGTAACCACCTTTGCAAACTGCTCACTACTTCCTCCTTGCAAACACCTCACTACGCCTCATCACCGGATCCACCACTTCAGCGACCATAAAGCACCTTTGCAAACAAAAACAAAAGAAAAGTTGATTTGTATAATATATGCCGTTTTAAATCTTTCAAATGATGTAATGGGCTACCTTTCACGAGAGCCAGCACGGTGGTCGCATGTCAGCAACATTTGCAGGCGTGTGTGTTGGCATTGCGCAGCTGCATTTGTGAACAGTTGTGAATAACTTAATATAAATGTTTATTTGTATATGTGCACAGTCTCACGTCTTTCTAATGTTATCATTCTTTCCGTGGATATGACGTGATTTTTTTTTTTTTTTCAAATTTTATTCCCGAGAAAAACACAGCAGATGGTCGAAACTTGTTTAATTACTTGGCAAAAATTTCTTCTCTGCAGGTTGTGGTGAAGGTGGAACGACCTTGTTGGGCATCCAATACCAGGTGTAAGCAGGTGGAGATTGTGGGTGCAGTCTTCAGGACACTTTCTGCATGTTTTTCAATGTGTCTCCTATGTCCTGTGTACAGTACTCAAGGATTGAAATGGAAAAAAGTAGGGCTAAGTAGCGCAAATACTTTCACTTTATATGGTCTTCATTTCGGGCTATATTGGCATAATTTCAACTTGAACGCATAGATGACGGCCAACGTTGTCATTACGAATAAGACATTACGACGTGACATCTTGAGCAAATGCACGTACCAGACATTATTCTAAAAAAAAGATTGATGCCTTGTTTAAATCTGTGAGTACTGTATGTGAGAAATGAAGAAACATTTGTACACGAAAACCCGACTTGAGTGCACATCTATACATTTCTTTATAATTGATCTCGTCATAAAAATTTTAATGGTTAGTGCAAATGTGTATGTACAAGCTTGCACTTTAAAGCATGCCTCCATCTTTTTTTTCTCTTGAACTTGATTGTTGCGGGAACATGAAAGAATACTTACCCGAGACCTAAAAGTTGCCTTAACAACTGTAGCTACATGTTCACTCATCGATGTGGTCACGCAGTGATGTAAATTTGGCCACTTTGGGGGCTGTGTAACCCTGATTTTATCAAGAACTATGCAGCTTGTTTTTACAGATTAATCTATAACATGTGTGTGATTTTAATTCAAAATAAAAATTAAATGTGTTTTTAATGTTACTGTATTTTTAGAGGCATGCATTCACTTATGCATTATTGGTATGAGTTGAATGTCACGCTCAGCAATTGTACTTGGCACAATTGTTAACCAATTATTTGGCAGCAGTCTGAGACCTTTTCAAAATGCTGACTAATATAGATGTGGAGCAAGAGAACTTGAAACTTTGGAACAATCGAGCAGTACGCTACATTTGGTACTTGCTTTTGAAATTTCGCCAATGAATCTGCTAGGTCAGAACACTTTATAAATGCATGTTACTCATAGTAAGCCTATAAAAATTGACACAGATACAAGAGATCTTCTGCAGAATCTCGTCAAAATGGCTTTTTTTGCGCAATTCCCAACAGTTGGTTCTGGTTCAGTGGAGGCTTATAAATTAAGGCAGAATTTTTTGCAAAAGTACCATTTGTTTTATGGCATTGTGTACTGTTGCAGTGAAATATATTTTTTCGAAATTAAGAGGCCGAGCCATGTGCTCCAATGTTTTTATCTGAACACACCACACGGCTGTTTTGATACAAAGAAATTAAGAGTCGTGCTGTTGTACATTTTTTAGCACTCTCGTTTTTCATTACTGGAATCTTTTTAGCATTCATCAAACTGACTTGACCTTCTCATGCAGGTGCAGCCTGGGCTTTTCAAGCTACTTAAACCATATCGTAACTGATCAGCAGCCTTTGCAAGTGCATTCCCAGAAACCCTCCCCAATGTAATGTACCGGCTTAGTTACAGTAATAGCTATAGTCAAGATCAGAGCCAAAGCTATATCCAGACTTCTCACAGCCTGCATGGCACATCCTGCTACGAAATCATGCTGCTTTGAGCATAACTAGCACACTGTACCTACAAACGATGGCCACAGTTGAGACCATCTTTATTGTCACAGTTCCCTCCGAGCGTTGGCATGTAGCATTGTTGATTGTGTGTTGTCATGAAGAGCATATCGACAAGGAGTCTGAGGCAGCGTGTAATAATTTCTTTTTGAACTGCACTATGAAATTTATGTTATCTCATGCAAGCATTGTAATGTTTAGATCAATGTTTCTCCTCCTGGATTCACGTAAATTTTATGCACTTCGCACCATGGGCCTGCTTGTTGTTTGCCGTGGATGAAGCCATGTGGAATTCGGCGCGCACTTTTTGAATTCTACTTTGTGTCCACTTGTTGATTTACCTAGTGTGCCTATTTGCTTGTTTATTAGTTTTTACACATATGCTGCAGATTTACTTCATCACTTCTTACTTTGGTAGACGGCTGAAACGGCGCGGACGGGACGGTCGAAAAAAGAACATAAACGCAGCCTTTTTTTATCGTCCCGTCCTTCATGCTGTTTTAGTCGTCGTCAGCCATGCGGCACCAACCAACCCAATCAAGGACACTGTTAAAACTTGTCAGTTTTATCTGCGCGTTGGCTGAGCAATCAGTATGCCTTCTTTGTATGAGCAATGCATATTGTTTCTAGGACTGGAATGTTAACTAGAATTCTTGAACTACAATTGTGGTTTTATTCCGGGGGCAAATATATGACTTACACAGTGCCCTACATAATCCGTTAGTTAATATTTGACGTTACGACCCACTGTTAGACTATAGTTTGGTAGTTTTCTTTGTGAAGGATAATTATTTTAGTTGTGGTTCACAAGTAAATGGATGACACATGATGTAGATTCCGTAATCATTCAAACACTAGGCTGTTTATTATTAATATATGTTATAATAATAATAAACATATATTCCCATATATTCCCTATTTATGTTTTTCTACAGTACTCTGTAGCTGCAGATGCTATTTGGCCTGATTTTTCTCCTTCACAAAAGCTGGACACCCATAGCAGTGTTTTTATCGCAAAAGCATATGCAATTTTAGCTACCATAAAATACATTGTTGGGTGAAACATTAACAAATCAGTTGTATTTAGCAATTCATTCAGTGTGCTGCAAACATCACACACTGTCAAACTGTGTAACGTAGCCCTTAATGATCTTGAACAGTGTTTCTTATAGAATATCTAAGCACTTTAAATATTACAGCTTGCTGGGTGACGGGTCACGTCTGTATTGACCTGAGCGAGAAATTTGTGCAGCAGGGGTCGTGTAAAGAAGCACTCCTGATGAGAATTGTGTGCCGTACAAAAAACGGAAAGGGCTTGCCCGCCACATTCTGCATGACAGGTGACAGTGGGAATAGGGTGTCGAAACGAACAAGCTCCATACAACTGAGCTACCTCCATATTCAGTAGACTTGTAAACAGAACCAGAAAGGACTTGGAAAATATGTTCTATTTAACAAGAGTTTCATTTGCATGACTTGAATATAGGAGTTACGATAGAATGCGGGAGAGGCTCAGGTGTGAATGAGCAGAACGTAGTACCGACGCACTTCGTCTGTGGTTCTTCTTTTTCCAGAAGTGGATGTATTCTTTACTAAGAGTTGAACAGGGGTCATAATACGAGTACTAAAGCAATCATATCAGAGACAGGTGTTCTATTCAAGCAGCAATTCTATTAACAGATTTCTGGTTACTGAGAGACTATTGTACTAGCTTATATTCGGTGGTATCAGGAGGTTGTTTGTCCCTACAATGGTCGAGTCACTTGATGTGAAGCCATTAGTTATGTTTGCTACCCTTGATTTGCTGCCATCTCATGTGAAAGCTTTCTTTTTGCTTATTGCCTTCTGAACCATCACTGCTCTTGACATCTTCAATACCATCACGCAAGAACCAAATTGCTTCTACACGCTATCATAGCAAATAGTTTCTGTCATGATGTTACAATAATTGCTGTTTTTCTGCAAGCACCCTTAGTATCCATCTTCATGGCACTGACCAGAATGAGCAAGCAGATGCTAATGCATCAGTAGCCACACAAAGAAGACGTTCTGACGAGATCGGTGTGCCACACCAAGATCTGAAAGTGCTTTACCACTTTCTGCATCAGAAGAGAGCATATATGATATTGAAATCAACAAAATTCATACTAGCTTGTATTCAGTGGCGTAGTCAAACCTGATTATATTAAACTCTGGTAGATTGAATGACCCTTTATGTTGAACTACTTATTTTGATTATTGGCTGTTGACTCGCCAATGGTTGTGCAGGGTCACCGTTCATTTCTCCACCCGCTTGTTAATGGGATAGGTGAAAAAGACGGACAGTGTTGTAAAGAAGTGAAATGCAGAAAATTGTATTTACAAACTGCTTGAAGTCAGAGGTGTGTTCTCTTCATGACATAGCGAATCATTATTGCTGTAAACAAAAACACTCCTCCTAATTGTGTCGTGAAATGTATAACTGGTGCGGCCGTTCGATTTCATGGCATCTGTGGTTCATGCGCCCAGTTATACTTAGTCACTGCAGTTGCATTTGTTATCATCTACGTATATATAGCGGGCTAAAATGGGGAAGCTGATAATTGGTGCATCATTTCGGTTCACTGGGCATTCATATTCTTTCTGTTTTGCATCACACTGCTGCAAACCAATTTAATATTTCTTTCCAAATTCAAGTGCTCAAAGTTAAATTTGGAAAATTTTCAAATGTTTGTATCGTTACACCAAATTAGTCACTAAATAAGCCATATTAATGAGAAATCATATTGCATCTAGCAAAAAAAGAAACATGCCCTCATATTTGTTCTTCTCTTTATTACTGAAAGAGGAGTCACTCAGTTATAGGTATAAAAACTAAAATTGAGTTATTTGTAACAATTGAGCCTAGCTGATTTCAAGGTTGTAAGTATTTTTGAATGTGCTGCGTTTGTGGTGGCTTTAACAATGTTTTATGTGCTGTTGCAGATGTCTTGGTCCCCTCTGTGGAGTAGAAAAGGACTCGCATGATTTTAATATTGACAAGCAATGCATTGCACTACCCTCTTCTTGGAAATCATTGACGATTTTACACTTGTGTTGGAGCTTAATACGTTATGAACATGAAAAACTGTGACGGTGGTATGACTGTCATTTGGACTGCTACTAATGACCCATTGTAATGAAACAAGTGAAATTGACTATGCAGTTCCTGCACTGTTATTCAATTAAAATTCTAAAGACTGTAATAATCTATTTACAATATATGTGTTGAAAGCTTTACTGTAAAGAAATTATGCCTTCCTTACATGGCCTTGGTTCAGTTTAGGTATTTATTGATGCACATCATGACACATCTGTATGTGCTAGGAGAAGATGTTTGTTTTATAAGGAACTGAATTGCTTGCTGGTAATACTTTGATGATGCACTGCAATATATAGATAGTAATGTAAGCGTACAGCAGAAGTCTCGTGTTACTTTATTGTGCCTTTTTCTCTATAAAACTTTTGTGTATATCCGCATAGTCTCAAGAAAATCTTCCAATTATATGGCCAAACAAACTTCATTTTTGAACGATTTATTGTCTTTTTTTTTTTTCAGTGCACTAGTTAAGCAACAACCACTTCAGTGTGCCTTAATGTGTCTTCGTTTTCTTCCATAATCGAACATTATTATATTGTTATGGAGATAAAGCGAAGGAAGTCATAGGCATTTCTTCCATCATCAAGCGTTGTTATGTTACGGTATATTGTTACAAAGATAAAGTGAAGGAAGGCGAAGGGCAGAAGGAGCTAACAGGCAAGTGAGTTAGTCACCTGTAGGCAAAGCACAGGCAACAGTCAATATTCATGGATCAAAATGTAGTAATTGTCTTAATTCAGTGTAATTAGTTATACATTGTCATAAAGAGGAATAGTATCTACACGTGTGCGTGATCGTGTGAGTGTCTGAAACTAATAGCTCACTTTGTATTCTATGCCAATATTATGCCTGCATTCAAGCAGGATGGAAACCTTAATGAGAAATGTAGTAACAGTGCTAGTATTTATGGAGAACCATTTTTCTGTGCAATCCTGTCATGAGTAAGAGCGTGCGAGGCATGTGCCGAGAGCTGGAACTCTGTGTCAGTACGCGAGACCCCAATGGTGCAGATACACACCACATTCACGTATAGGATTGGTCAGAGAAAAGCTTGCGGCGCGCGAGCCACGCCGTGATCAAAAATCCCAGAGGATGAGCTAGCACTGTGCTGTGGAGCTTCAAACTGCCAAGGTCAGCAAGGTCAGCGACGAAAGCAGTAGCCGCCCAGTTTTGAAGGGTATCGGCGTAAGAGGTCCGGGAAGTGGCCATTGACTTCGGAAGGTCTCGAGTGAGGCTGCCCGGACTCGCCGCAACCTTGCACTACAGTTCCTGGGGGACTACAGCTTTTCCACTTTGATCTAGAACGAATGTGGCCCACACCAGTCAAGGGAGCGCATCATCAATGATGCCATGGACGAATTTGATTTAACCAAGCAGGCCGAAGATGATGAGTAAAACCGGGACACCAGCAATGAGCGGCCGCGACGATGGGTAGCGAGCAGGTGCAGAAAAAAGCTCAAAAAGACGCTGAACTGTGAAGAAGCACAGACTTAAGCAGGGTTTCTTCAATTAGTAAATGCTTTTGTGCAAAACATCTGGACAGTGGAATATGTTACGAGTGACTTGAGATGTCACCTTAGGCCGAGTTGAGCTTTTTAAATATAGTGAAGATTTAGGGCAGGTAGTGGATATTGCACAGATTTTTCGGAATATTGGGTGTTGAGTACTGTGTCTAATTAGTCTTGCGGGTGCAGTCGTATAGCCTTAGATGAGGAACTTGTGGACATGTGAACAGTCGAGTGTAGTGTTTGATGCGTGTTGGTGAAAGTGTGTAATAGCTTGGTGTTGTGCCAAGTGAATATCGATAAAAATGTGCAGCGATGGAAGGTGATGATGCACCAGGCTGCGCCTGATTGGCCATAAAAGTGATGACACTGACAGGATAACAGAAGGCCAAAATCACAGGAAATAAGAACAAGAGCAGTTTTTTTTTTTTAGAAAACACTCTTGAAAAGGGAGCCAATGTCATGAGTAAGAGGGCGAAAGGCACGTGCCGAGTGCCAAAACGCGGCGTCGATGCGCGAGATCCCCATGGTGCAGATAAGCGCCACGGTCACGTCGAGGATTGGTCAGAGAAAGGCTCGTGGCACGCAACCGGAGCCGTGATATAAAATTCCTGAGGATGAGCTGGCACTGTGCTGTGGAGCTTCGAACTGCAAAGTTCAGGAAGGTCAGTGTCGCTACAGCGACGAAAGCACTAGCCGCCCGGTTTTGAAGGGTGTCTGCTTAAGAGGCCCACGAAGTGGCCGTCGACCTTGGAGATCTCGAGTGGGGTTGCCCGGATTTGCCACAACCTTGCACCACAGTTCCTGGGGGACTTCAGCTCTTCTGCGTTGAGCGGGAACAAATGTGGCCCACTGCAGTCACTGGAGCACATCATCAATAATGCCATGGACGAATGGGATTTTATAAAGTGGTCCGAAGTTAACGAGTAAGACCAAAACACCGGCAATGAAGGCTAGTGAATCGCCAAGTGGACGCGCACAGACGACGATTATGGCGAAGTGACACCGCTTTGTTGTAGTTCTGAGGATGGCATGTGAACAGTAAGAATGTTCTACTATTGCGGGACGGCATGATTGTGGCCACCAAGACACCATTTTGGCTAGAGAAAGATTAGGCTTAGGACTGAACTTGACTTAGATTGATATTAGTTACGGTTTCGTTGTTTAGCCAGTTATTATGTGCATGTCTTTGTTTTTCGTGGTATTTGAGGGTTTTCTGATGTTTTGCTGTTTTGCCCAGTATTAAAAGGGTTTGCTCTGTTACCTCCGACTCATGTCTCTCGTAATTGCATCCGCTGCAAGTGCTCAGAGGATAAATTTGTGACAAATCCACTCAAATGTGCCATCATTGCTGACCATCAAAAGCAGTGGTGCTGTATGATTTCTTGCAAATTATATTCTTTCTTTTCCCATTTTTTCTTGTATTAACTTCTTTCACTCATGCTTTGTTTTATGTTGAAGTATGAACGGAGTTTTGATGCAGCATTATGTAAAAAAAAAAAAGGAAAGCACGATAAACACTATAGTTTGCTTGTGCTTCATGTATTTGCATATTACAAAGCAAGTTTGATTTGCAAGATGTTTCAGTGCGCGAACAAAGAAAAAAGGACAGGGTGGACAGAAAGAGCACTCTTTCTGTCTACCCTGTCCTTTTTCCTTTGTTCTCGCGCTGAAACATCTTGCAAATATGACTACGCACCAACTAGCCCAAGCTTCCACACTTGCAAGTTTGATGTTTAGGCATCGTATCAGAATATTGTCCCAATCAGGCCCATGTGCATTTGCGAAACATTTTGAGTGTATCGAGTGGAGTGCTTACATACAGAGAAAAGGGAATTTCTGTACAGCATGTTGCGTCATTGCATGGTTACTTCTGCTGTAACATGTGGTTTGCATAGGTAAAGGTAATTTCATACTTCATTTACAAGTGCAGCAACCTTTCTTCATTGCCTGGGGCTGTAATCTAGCTGCAGAAAATGTTTCATTGTTTTTTATTGCCTTTCTGTTTTTTCTGTGGCTTTGCAGGATCCTTGTCTTTGTTACACTATGAGCACTACCATTCACTCGTGACCAAAAAAGCCGGACTGCACTCCTGTCGTCAGTGCACCTATGTGACCAAGTTCAGAACGAACATGCTAAGACATCTTTGCAAACATACAGGCGTGCGCCCCTTTCAGTGCCACTTGTGTCCAGCTGCATTTTGCCAGGAGTCTAACCTCACAGAGCACATGTGTACGCATACAGGAGAGCGTCCCTTCTCCTGTGACTACTGCAGTGCGTCGTTCGTAAGGAAATCGGCCCTTGTGTACCATGTGCGCACCCACACAGGGGAGCGGCCCTTTTCCTGTGACCAGTGCAGCGCAGCTTTTTTACACAAAAGTTCCCTCATGGTACACAAACGCAAGCACACAGGAGAGCGTCCCTTTTCCTGTGACCACTGCAACGCATCATTCTCGCGACAGGAGCATCTCATTCGCCACCAGGTTATTCACACAGGAAAGCGTCCCTTCCCCTGTTACCACTGCAGTGCATCCTTCTCACAGAAGTATAAACTCATGAACCACCTATCTTGTCACCATGCAAACAAGAAGCCATAAAAAGTGAGTGGTCCACAGCCTGTCTTTAAGAGAGTAGGAGTGCCAAATAATAAAGGATTTGTTGTGTAGAGGTTGAAGGGAAAATGTAGACTGAGAAAGTAACTCTGTTTGGTAATTCCCAATGGAAAATGGCATGAATTTGTGCGAGAGACGTGTGGTAGAAGAGAGTGTAAAAAAGTGGCCGCCTTCTTGAGATATAAGTATCCACACTATTTTGCACTTGTTTTGGGCAACACTCTTTCCGTGAGAAGGTCAGGTGAGCGGGTACGGGCACTGGGTATCCAACTTTGTTTTTTCCCGAAAAGTATGAAAAGAAAAACTCACTGCTGATTGAACTAAAATTGGCAATTTTCTAATTCAGTGTCTGGATAATCTACATATAGAGCTATGGTGGAAGTGCTTTTGCTTTTGTTGACCTCGATTTGTTTGCCTTGATATCATAATACAGGATAATTATAACTTGTAAGTTATGAATTATGGGGAATTTGTTACTAAGCCTTTTTCCACATTTATTTGCGAATCATTCGAATGTTTCATATCTTGAATGAACCCAAGGGGAAGAATACTGCGGCATTTTGATTTCTTTATTTTGGACTTACTGCAAAGCTCATTTGCGGACAACAAAGAACACAAGCCTTTGAATTTAAACTTCATTCGTAGCGAGGGTCTCGTCCTGGCAGACTTGACGCGTTCTGATAATCTGGAAGGGATCATTGTTCAGCTGCCAACTCGTAGTAATGTCATGCACCGAGTTTCCGTTATTCTGAATTTAGACATTACTCCTTTATTAGACTTGATGCCTTCTGGGATGTCCGCAAGGGATTATTGGTCAGCTGCCAGCTTGTAATAAGTGTCATGCAAGTGAGTTTTCATTGTTCTGAATTTAGACTTCATTCCTTCATTCATAACGAGGGTTTCGTCCTGGCAGACTTGATGCCTTCTGGTAGTTTGCAAGGGATCATTGGTCAGCTGCCAACTTGTAATAATGTCATGCAGAGAGTTTCCGTTGTTCTGAATATAGACTTTATTTCTTTATTAGACTGATGCCTTCTGGGATGTTTGCAAGGGATAATTGGTCAGCTGCGAGCTTGTAATAAGTGTCATGCAGTGAGTTTCTGTTGTTTTGAATTTAGATTTCATTCCTTCATTCATAGCGAGGGTGTCGTCCTGGCAGACTTGATGCCTTCTGGTAGTTTGCAAGGGATTATTGGTCAGCTGCCAGCTCGTAATAAGCGTCATGTAGTGAGTGCTTTCATTGGTTCCTGTTCTACTTGTTGCTTTGTTGGTCTTCTGTCTCCCTGGAAGAGTACAAGTCACTTGCGTCTAACTCCACTCTTGCCAGCAGTGCTCCTGCGTGACCAAGGTGAAGATGAAAATACAGACACCTTTGCATTCATACTGGACAGTGCCCATAGACTGCTGTTTGTGTCCAACAGCATTCACTCATAGATTCTAGCTCACAATTCATGTGCAACCCTCGTGCACTGGAGAGTATCCCTTTTCACGAGTGCTCTGTGACACAATTTTTTGCAAGCAAAGGGAGCCTCATGTGCCACATGCTAACGCACATTGCTGAGTGTCTTTTTTCCTATGTTCACCATAATGCATCCTTTTCTAGGAAAGACAACATGAATATACATGTGTCCCATAATCGTTGAGACCCTAAGAAACCCCTAAAAACATGAAATCCTAACCATGAAGACCCTAAATGACTAAAAAAAAAAAAAACCCTAAAAGGTTTGAGAATTTGTATTTGCAGAAGCAGGGGCAGGTTGATTGTTTGAATTTCCGTGATTGAAATGACATCCAAAGTGTATAAAGTGGTTTTTATGTGCATTAGCAATTCTTGTTGTTACAACAAATGGCTTAAAATGAATCTGTGATAATAAAAAAATTTTAATTGCACCTATAGCTGTACTCTGGTGACAGAGGTTTGACTTGTCTTAATTGTAGGTCACCTGAAAACAAATTCCTCCCATGTACCTGTTCTCATTAATAGAAAAATCGGACAGGCGTGCAATTGAGGTCTGGCCTCTGCGGTGTGCGCCAAGTATTCTTTCCTGCAAGTTTATCAATTAACGGAGTTGCTTCTTGTACCATCAGTATAAGATTGCTGTTAGGTTTCTTTAAAGCAGGCTTCATTGTATTGGTGTTCTCAGTGTAACAAGGTATTGTTTTATCGCATTGTCCGATAAGTGTGTCTTGACCTTCGCAAAAGAAAGCATGTTTTTTACTCACTAGTTCAGTATAACAGTTTCTCTGCTTCTACAAAGGGTGGTTGAAACAGTAATGTAAAGCTTGCTAGTGCCAGTTGTTGCTGGTGCCTGCCTTGCCTTTAGCTGACCCTTATTTTAATATTGTGTGCTGCATGACAGCGAGAAGCCATAGAGCAAAGCGTCTTTCTTTGCAGGGACAGGGAAGTCGTGGAGTAATATAGTATCCTCTTTCACTGTTTTGAATATCAAGCTGTGACAGGAGCTCTTATTTTTTGTTCGAATCAATTTGTAAGCATTCATATCATGATTACTCTGATTGTGCTGTTGACTAAGTTACATTTGATACTGTTTTATTGTGCCTTAATTGAAGCAATATAAAAGAATCAATAAAGAATGTGTATACTCTGCTAATACTTAATAATGAACAATTCTTTTGTGATATGCATGATGATGTGCTTCTATTTTACACCGCCAGAAACTGCGATGCTATTTTAATTTTTGTAAGCATTTCGTGTATATTTTTTTCTTCATCTTTTCATCTTCTCTTGCACAGACTACTTTCTGGCACATCTTATTTCATGTGACCTATGTGTTGAGTTGTCACATAGTGCTTGTGCAGTATTTTTTTTTTTATTCAGCTGTGGCAAAATTGAAAGTGTGATGCAAAGATGTTTGGATTTTTAAAGTATACTGCTACCTTCCAAAGTGAATTTGTTTTCTTATATTTTAATGGCAATGTTTAAGCAATCCTATTTAGGACAGTTTCTTATTTTGATCCTAAGTGTATTAAAAATGATGAGTATTTTCAATCCCTCCTTTACTCATTTGAAAAAAAAAAATGGGAAGCTCCAGATTCTATATAATATGTGTAAACTCGTCAGAGATGTCACTCGTCAGGTGTTGTGTCATGACACTTGAGTGTAGTAGTTCACAAAATCGCGGACAAGCATTTTATAATAATGAATGTTTTTGATCTCAATAAAGAATTCCTTCTCAGTCCTCTGATAATGTTCTGTTCAGCCTGCTCATTTGTCAGAGTATTTAGTGCTTTTAACAAAGCAGTAATGGAAGTGGTGGTGTACTTGAAGCAGGTGAGCATCGAACCAGGGTACCACAGGGGCGAAAATTCACATTTTTAACCATTTGATAGACAGCGCTTTATAACAGCGAATAGGCAAGGATGAATTGGATTGAGTCTGCTATTATGAAAAGAAAACGGTCAGATTCTAAAGTAGGCCCAAGGTATGAGTGTGGATGCATTTTAGACATTAGAAAAGTTTATCACTTCCAGATTTCCATACACGTCGGGAGTAATTTGTTTTAAAGCTACTACTTAAACCTCAATATTATGAACACGATTCTAACAAAATGTCTTTTATAATGAAGTAAATGAAAACTAGTCTTGCAATATAGTGTTGGGAATAAGCTTAATAACGAATTTTCGGATATA